TAATGATTTATGCAAGAAACATCAAGCGCGTATATATATCTACCGTCACAAATTTGTGCATCATTCGTTATAAATTAATTGTTAATTTATATAAATATTATTTATTATTTTCACATAAAAAATTAGCACAATATAATTTCAAGAGTATATAATGGGAGTTCTCCATATATTACTCTTCATTCTCTATATTGTGTACGTCGATGGTTCTCATTAAACTCCTGTCTTCTCACTCACTCATTTGTGTCCTTTTTTGTGGTGAGCTACAGTGTCATTGACACTTTCATTTAAATACGTCTTTGCACATTATGTTGGTTGACGTTACACCCTATATTTGACTGTGTCAGTTGTGATGTGACAGTGATGCTAATTGTGAAACACTGGAACAACTAGAGATTCTTCTTCACAAACATAATCAACATGGTAACTTACTGTAAACGGAATCTACAGAGTATAACGACACTGTGCAAACGATGGGTTCAGAAAATGTTACGTTTTGATGTATGAACTGATTATAAGTCGATATGGAGACTAGGTGGCATACCAACAGCCGGGCGAGCAGTTAAAAGTAGCTACGCTGTATTCCCATCATTATAGTCATCGCTTAATCAGCCATAAGATGGCTTATAAACACTCGTATACTCCAGGACCTAATTACTTACGCAGTTGTAAAACATGGTTTGTAGGTGTTGCCAAGCATTGTTTACATATAGCATGAAAATAAGATGCATTAGAAAGGGTTGCAGGGTGCTGTGAGGAGCTGAGACTTTAATAAGTCAGAGATGCGGGATTGCTTGGTGTGTGTAAGAACATTATGTATACGGTAATTTGTTGTAGTGTTTGTTTACAATGCTGGTTAGTCCCTGCTTTGGTAAGAATAACAGTCAACATCCCTACACAGTACGGATGCCAGTTAAGCACCAGGCCCACGAGAGACGAGTTTTACAGCGATGTTTGTGGGCGAGGTGTGCAGCTGCTGTTGTAATTAATTAGGGGAAGCGACAAGCGTGTGTCATGATTTCAGGAGCTGACCGGATACCCGGGTGTCAGATATCAGACCGGTTCATCATAACACCAGGTTATATAATCACACGCAAGACGGTTTGTAACAGCAGTCTGATTAGCAAGACAAACACCATTAGCAGAGGATCAGCTGACTTATTATAAAGATTCTTATAATGACATTCGTATTCTTTCATGATATATTCTGTACTTGACCTTACAGTCGTAAAATGGCGCGTGATGTTTAGATGATAATAATTCGATATTCAGAATAAACAGTTGAAATGCACGCATAAACAGGTCGCGTTTTTGTTCTACACCAATACGCGGCGTTCAATAGATTTATTTGTATTCTCTTTACTAATTTGTACGAGAGCCTATATAGAACGTGAATTCTACAACAAGTGTGACGAGACCGTCGTAGCAGAAGCAAAACACGTGGTCGTAACTTGAACGCCAGACAGGGTTGTGTGACCAGTACGTGGCAGCTTTCCCCTGAAGCGCGATGGGTACGCATGCAGAATATAATCTCGCGCGGGAAAAATCCATTATGAGTGCGCTCTGTGTATGCCCTGCCTTCTCACTTTCTGAGTAGGCTTAAAGTTACCATGAAACACACACGGGAGAAAAACCGTATAAGTGCGATCTGTGTGATACTACCTTCTCCTGTCTGAGTAATGTGAAGTCACACATGATAACTCACACGGAAGAGAACCCGAAGAAGAAAAAGACGAAATAAAGAAATTCCCCGTGTAACATTTAAAGTGAAGCGTTCGCTCTGAAGACACCTAATAATCACACTTGACAATGCATAATAACTCTAGAGAGATGTCGCACAGATGTAACCTGAAAGTGCATCGCGGACTGTCAGACTCACATGTTCAGATCAGCTTGACTCTGTGAAAAAGCGAGCACACTGCACACATGTGAACTGGAGCAGTGAAGTACCAACGAATGCAACTCAAGTGTTACAGCTTCTTTCCAGATTGGAAGCTGGAGTAGGAATTGCTTGTGAAAGCCGGGAAAATCTCTTAGTTATATAACGTCTGATGCAAGACATGTTGATGTTTATGGCTGATTACCCTACCTAACGTGTGACCATTTTATAATCGTGTAAATTTAATACCATACGATGTTTGAACACCAATCTAATAAAACACATAGTACGTATTATTATTTGTAATTTTCATATCTCTCGCCGAGAAGGAAAATGTTATGTCTGTATATATATATTAACACGCACACATGCGCGCGCACGCAGTCTCTCTCTCTCTCTCTCTCTCTCTCTCTCTCTCTCTCAGCCCCCCCCCCACCATTGGCATAAACAACCAACCAAATGCAACGCACACACATTGCGCTCATCACCACACACGACGAGCGCTTCGGTGATGCGCACTGCCTACGACGCGCACCCACGCACACGCGCAACCACATCAACACCCGCACACACACACACACACACACGCACCCACACACACACGAAACACACACACAACACACACACACAGCACACACACGCGCCCACCACACACACACACACACACACACACACACTACACACACACAACACACACACACACACAACACGCCACACAGCCCACACACACACACAGCACACACAGCACCAGCACACACACACACCCGCCCCCACCCACCCACACAATTGCTACAAAAGAGAACCAACAACAACAAGCGAATGATGAATAGGAAGAGGAAAAAAGGAAAAAAAGAATGATGAGAAAAACAAAGACAGACACTTTGTGTGATTTCCTTTTATAACCGATCGTATCCTCAGAAATACAAAACATAAAAAAGTATTGAAAAAAAATTGATGTACTTCCATGTACTTGCGATATCATTCATTTATCGTCATTTAATGCGGTTTGCTTTGTGTTTCACATAATAAACAAGATTTCAATACTTCTAATTTAAAGCGTTTTTAGATTAAAATCAAACGTACAACCAAGACTAGCCGCACAGAAAACTTCATTGAACAATAATATTGCGCACGCACGACATAAGCACGCACAGTTACAAATGTTGTACACATTATCAACATATTCAGTAAATATTGTTTATAAAATCCAGACAGGGATTAATTGACTTAATGACGCTAAAATGGATTATGTTGAATATTTTCATATAACCACCGTAGTTAAACCATTCTGACAACTTTATAACGAATGAAACTAAATAAATAGAAGTGAACAAAATCACAATTCAATCTCCCTGTTAGCCACTCCAGTAGATTACGAAATGACATGATGACAGAAATACAATATAATAAATATTGTATAATATGTGAACCCTGAGTTACAAACATTTTCTTGGTTAACGAGATAATTTATAACAATTATGGTATACATGTATCATTTTAACTAACTACCGCAAACAACAAAAGAATGATATTCATTATTGATATATTGTTGATATATGCTTTTAAAGTATTTGTTGTGGTTCTTTTTCGCTTCGGTAATAAGCATTGCACCGAGAAAGTTATTGTCGATGTTCAAAACTATTCAACTCAGTTTAATTCAATTTATATTAAGTAGAAATCGTAAACATTCAACCCATTTTAAATGAAATACAGTTTAATGGCATATGTAGTACATGTTGAGATACAAGTGTTATCAATCATACCTAATAACACATAAACATAACATAAATTGTATTTAACGATATAAATAAACATGTATATAGGTGTGTGTGTGTGTGTGTGTGTGTGTGTGTGTGTGTGTGTGTGTGTGTGTGTGTGTGTGTATGTATGTATGTATGTATGTATGTATATACATAGAGTTGACAGAGTATCTGATCATAATAGCTATGCACAATTCAGCGCTCTAATTCAAATAATTGGAAAAAGACTAGGTTATTCTAATTATTTAGATAGATGGATAGATGGATGGAGTGTAAGATAGATAGACAGATACCACACGGCACACACACACACACACACACAACACAGCAAACACACACACACAACACACACA